TCAATTTGATCGTCCACACCGATAGACAGTATTCAGAAAGAGACAGAGAGAGAGAGAAGAGGGGAGGAGTAGATCTTGCGAGAACTTCCGGGCGGGTGAGAATAGCCACAAAAATAGGAAGGGGGGTTTCAGAGGGGGGGCATGCCCCCTGAATTTTACCATAATTTAATGTTTTGCAGTTGTTAGGTTTGATATCTTATCTCACCGCGAATCAAACGTATAGATCTAGATTATAGATCTAGATCTAGATATCTAGATGTAGGTCAGGCTCAAATAAGGGGGGTGGGAACTACCGAAAAAGCACCCCTTAGGCCTTAGGCCTTAGCCTACCCCAGACAAAACCTAAACCCTACCCCCTTCCCCTCTGCTCTACTGTCTCATACATAGTCATAGATTTAGTGGTCGCTCGTTACGGAAGTCCTCCCGTGAATGGGCATGCCTAAATCTAGAGATAGAAAGTCTTCTAAGAAGACCAACAAAATTGAAAATGCACGATACAACACGAACGTGAATGTTTGGTGTGTTCGTGCCGTAAATCGTAGACAGGTCACTAGATCTCTATCTATATAGATCTAGATCTAGATCTAGATCTAGATCTAGATCTATATCTAGATCTATATATCTATATCAAATGTATAATTCATAGGCCTACCCAGCAACTACTAGATCTAGATTCTAGATCTAGAATAAAGATCTACGGTGCACGACGCATTAAAATTTAAAATGTGTTTACTTTTCGTTATAATCACTGTTCACTTCACTGGTCTTCCCTTTCTTCTGAATTCTGAACTAAGCATGGGCGAAGTCAAGTCGAGATTCGGAATTCGGCGAATTCGTGGGGTCTGAGTCGGAGATCGAACATTGGGCAGGAGGACGAGTCCGAACACGAATTCCCGAACTAGGGCAGCCAAGGGGAAAATAGATCACGAGGAGCGAAAACATATTTAATTTGTTAAAAATTGTGAATAATTTTACGCAAAACTGCACCCAAGAAACATTTTTGAACGCTCAAAAGTTAGATTTGAATGAATAAAAATGCATAAGTTTGAAAAGTATCATAAAACACGATGTCTTATTTCTATTTTCCCCTCGCTGTGTTCAGAAGGAAGCAGCGAGTTCGAATTGGACCGTCCCACGATTCCATCGACTCAATGAAAGTCACATGAGCTTTTAGAACGCGCTGATTCGCTAGCAGTTACAAATCCCTTCTGCTGGTGGTTATGCCCTAAGAGGCCAAGGTCAAATTTACGCACTACGGTGACGGACGAGCATTGCGTCTCTGATTGCACCAATCACAATTGCAAGCCATCTTCACGTCAAATTCAAATCCCGTGATTATCCCAGCCTCCTTCTTTCTTTGGCTTTCACTACGATCACACACATTTCACTACTTTTCTTCTCTTCATTGTACTATCTACATGTATTTTCTTACGACCTGTCTGGCACTTACATTTACATTGTCACATTTCTCGTCTCTTTTGCATTACTCCATGTTTGTTTTCAACCTTGTATGTTTATCTTGTCATAATAAATGTTGATTATGATATAAATCTAGATCTAGATCTATTACTGTTATTTTTTATAGACTTCTGTCTTGCTGACTGTTGCTTTGATTTGCATGGTCTGACTTTAGAGTTCGAGACTGCGGGATTTTATGCTTTGATTTTTATTATGACCTGTTTGCATCCATTATCCTCGCACATGAATGCGGCTGTACTGTCAACGAGGGGCAAATAACTTTCAAAACAAACTGGTGCCCTCCCCTGATGTCAATGAAAACATTGCCTGCCTCAATCCCGACCTCTGTGACCTCTTCCCTGCTCCTTCCCCCTCCCCGCCCCCTTTGTCTACACTGGTCCGTGGAGTCGGGATTCTCTACAGCGTGTTCGACTCGACGGATGTAGGGAGAACGACTTGACTTGACACGAATCCCACCGAATTGACCTTGCCTCTCCTCAAATTTGATTGGCTGCTATCTTGACCTGAATTCGAATTCGGAGTCGAAGTCGACGAATTCGCGCCCAAAAATGTTCGGAGTCGAAAGTTCGGAAGTTCTCGGAGTCGGCCCACCCTTATTCTGAACTGTTCTCAAACCCAGGTACACTTGACTTCTGCTAGTTTTAGCAGTTTAAATCTAGGCTAATGCGTTTTCCTCGTGGTTTGGCCATAGATTTATGAGATCCAAGATTGGGTACGCTTGGCCCACTTCCGGTCCACCACGGAGTGCACCATTTGACTCTTTTTGGAAAAAAAATAAGGGCAAGGAAGGAAAAGTTACACCCTACTCGACTTTAGCGAGACCTTCGTTGACATACCCCCACTAGCTGTGGTAATTCCTGCCTTTCCATTTAGAGAATACGAAAGAGTTTGACCTTGTTATTGGGCATTTTCTTACTTTTCATTCTTCAAGAGACCTCGATCTTACACCACCACCACCTCTGATCCCATAATCCACGAGGATCATAGGGGCGCTGTGGGATAGAGAGTCTCGTCAGATGTCTCCATTTTTCCTGTCTTTTTGCAAGCGCCTGAGTTTGGACGAAGGATTTCCCTGTCTATTCTGCAATGTGTCGGTCCACCAGCCTTTTCTTTACCTTCCTCTCTTTCTCCTCCCCGTGCACAGTTCCCCAAAGAATGGTTTTGGAAAGGCCACATCGTTGGCGGAGAATTCTAACCGTCCAACTCCGATTTCGTAAATTTTGCAGGAGAGACAAAAAACTGAA